TTTCCCTAGGGCTGAATTCCACAATGTTGAGAGGAGTCACTCATGGTGCAAAAGATACATTTACTGTTCTGTTGACAAGATCCCAGTACTGTAACACGAGATTCAACTTTTCATCAGTATGGACTGAAGTAGCACACAGAAGCTTCCCAGCACATTCCAGTTACACAACTGATAAAAAATCAAGAGAGGAAAATAAAAAAACCATTGAGAGTCTCTACAGGTTGTCAGTTGACATCAAGAAAATACGCAGACTAAAGGAATGGGTCCTTCTCCAGGATGTGGCCTATGTTAAAGAAACTGCTGGTATCTTGCAGGAAATGGGAGCGGATGAGGCGGCTGTAGCCAACATTTTGGAACGCTGTCCAGAGGCAATTCTCCATACCCCCACAGAGATAAACTCTCAAAGAGCTCTATGGCAATTAGTATGCCAGAATGAAAAACAGCTGATTAAGTTAATAGAGCAATTTCCAGAGTCTTTTTTTACTACTAAATATCATGAGAACCAGAAGGCAAATATACTGTTTTTTCAAGAGTTGGGACTCAAGAATAATATAATCACCAGGTTCTTGACAAGCACACCCAATATTTTCTATAATCCTGTTGAAAAAAACAAAAATGTGATAGAGACTTTACAAAGAAATTATTTAAGTTTAGGAGGTTCTGATGCAAATATGAAGATCTGGATACTGAAGCTATTGAGCCAAAATCCATTTATTTTATTAAACACCTCCACCTCCATCCAAGAGAGCTTGGAATTTCTCCAGAAGAATGACTTCACTGACCATGAAGTTCTACAGCTGCTGTCCAAACTCAAAGGTTTTATTTTTCAACTTACTCCTACTACTATGCAGAAGAGTATGCTTTTTTCCAAAAATGTCTTTAAGTGCAGTGATCAAGAATTGAAACAGCTAGTGTTGAAATGCCCAGCCCTTTTCTACTATTCTGTTCCAGTTTTGGAAGAAAGACTTGAAGGACTCCTGAAGGAAGGCATTTCCATAGAACAGATTAGAGAGACACCGATGGTGCTGGAGTTGACAACACAAATTGTTCAGTACCGAATTAAAAAACTCTCTGCTTTGGGATATGATATAAAGAGTGGAACTCTAGAAAGCTTGATTGGTACTAAGAAAGATTTTGAGGTCAGTTATGGAAAGATACAATCAAAGAAAGAGAGACCAATTTTTAATCCTGTTGCTCCTATAAACATTGAAGATTAATTTGAATGTTGTCCTTTAAAAGAAAATCATCAAAGAGAAAAACGTTGTTTCTTTGAGAAGACCCAAAACAAAAGTAATCTTAACCAGACTGTAGTCTTATACTGTACCATGTCCTGGAGTGTGTCTTGGGCATAACTTGATTATACAATTGTACCTAATGTTTCCTAATAATATCCAAGGACCTGGTTATGATAGAAGTTGCTTTTTTTTTCCTAGGGTGTTTTTTTTTGTTCTGTTACATTTTCTTACCTAACAGGAAATTAACTGCTTTGGATTTTAAGCTCTGCCACTGCACAGTCCACCCTGTGGTAGTGATTAGGGCAGTCTTTATCTGAGAAAGATAAAAGGAGGGTTATTTTTCCAGCTGTGTTCATCAGCCACTGGTTCACTGACTTTTGGAAACTCTTTTGGAGTTCCTCTTCTTATTGCTGAGATAAGTAGCTCTATTTCCCAGATCCAGAACTGCAGCAGACTACTTCTTGGAAATGAGAACCTAGCTATACAGTACAGTTTGAGAACAGGGGCAGGACAGTATTTTTTCTTTAGTGACTGTTACAGTGAAGCTCTAGTACATTTGTGTACAAACCACAAAGCCAAGAAACTGCAAGACAACCTTTACATTCCTGAGACTTCAAAACTTGCCCTTTTTGCAAAAGGTTTGGGACAGGAGGACGCACATTTATTGCTGTTTTCTAGTTCTTTATGCTTTTCTAGCAAGGCTTGGTGAGAGAAGTTTTGAGAGACTCAGGTGAGTCTCAAATGATTGTAAGAGAAAGAGTCATGCTCCTGTATTAGGTGTAACAAAACACTAGTCTGTAAACCACTGGTGATCAAAAACGACTACCAGATTTGCAAACAGCTGCCACAGTTGCTAAATATATGGGTCACACTGCTTCTCAGATATCACTGGTAATCACTGACAAATGCTTGCTTTCAAAATAGTAACTAAGAGTGTTTAAGTGCTTGGGGTATTTTACTTATTTTAATTTATGGGCTGTGATTGGTAATATCAAATAGTAGCATCACTTACCATTATCTCAGTAGAATGAGGATTCCACACATTTGCTGTTGAAAGCAGGAGATATAGAAAAAAAAAAAGTTACTTACCCCCTCACTCCAGGCCCATTCTTCAAGCTCATTTTTAACAGATACTTTGGCAGCAAGTCCAAGGTTCATTTTTTTAAAGAGAAGTTTTAAATTGCTGAGGAAAGCTGGTATTGAGTTACTTGTTTAGAGGGTGGGCTGCAAGATGATGATTTTATGTAACCTGCCACATTATCTGCTGCAAGCTTGGAAAGGGCTAGAGACATCTGGTTGGAGCAGCATGAAGACCTCAACAGCTGAAGGTCTCAAACTGCTGTGCAGGCAAGTGTGGACATGACAGCAGCTGGTGGGGGTAACCACTGCTTCTGCAGAAGCACGTGTGACAGCAGCGAGAATTCAAGACTGGGCAGTTATCACCAGCAAGATAAAAATCAGGCTGTCTTACAAAGCCACTTCTTTTCTGACTCTTCAAAACACATGATGGTTTTCTAAGAGGAATCTGGGAAGACAGCCAGATTAAAAATTCACAGGAAGCTGCCTTTGTCGCTGACTGTCCTTCAGTGCTCATCTATTAAGCAGATCACAACATTATTTGAATTCAAAAGCATCCTTCCCCTCAGACACAAGGGGGCATTTCAGTTCTCTGAAGCTATTCATAATACAATCTCTAATGCTGGACCACAGAACCGATCCATGGTTTAGGATGAAAAGGAAACCAAGACATAAACCACTGTTTTCACCCCAAAATGCAGTTTTCAGCATTTTACAGGTATGGTTTTTAGTGTTCCTGAAACAGCTTACTCCCATCACTTACAATATTCTCAGTGGCCAAAGAAAACAGGAAAGTGACGTATTTCCTTAACTCACAGCCTGAGTTAGAAAAAATTCATTTTCCATTCTGAATGTTTCAGTTTCTCCTCCTCTCCTGTCAATACAGAAGCATAAGCAGAAAGACTTTCTTTTCTCTACCAGCAGTCCAAAATTCATTCAGTCTTTCATTCATAACTCTATGTCTAGGACCTGTTTCTCTCCTCTTCACAGGTTTCATTTATAATAAAACCTCAGGGAAGCTCCCAATTATCAAACTGTTGTATTGCTGAAATCCACTTCCTTATCTCTTGCTGTTACTCACAGTGAAAATCAATCAGGTTAAAAACTGTTTAAATCTGACACATAAAAGCCTGTAGACCAGCCTTTTGTTACACAGTGAGCAGTCAAGCATAGAAGTAGGCTTCATAAACATTTCCCCTTCTGAAATGGGGGCTGGGAAGAGAAAAGTAAAATACAACTCACCACAAAACCAACCCCAAAACACAAGAACAAGCCCAATCTCCCTGAAAATTTTTGTTCTGTATTCCATTCAGCTCACTACCTTCTTAAAAGTGGGTATCCCCAAGCCTCAGTTCCCAGGAGACCAAAAAAAAAACCCCCAACAAGTACAAGGGATTTTGTGCCTGTGCACAGCCAACAACACAGTGAAGTTACACATTTTGTTAAGAGCTGGCTGGCACTAATTAGATGCAGGTAAAAGACACTCTGGGGCAAAATACTGTGGGAAGATTTATAATTCAGTATGCTTTTCCCCAAAAAGTAATTAAAGCAGCTTTCAAACGTCTGAAACAGCAACAATTTAATGTTTCACAAGTGTCAGGACAGAATTTGAACAAGTTTTTAAGATGAAGCAAGTTTCATAGGTGAATGGAAAACATGCAGGACATAGGACAAAGCTCTTTTTGAAAAATAAAACCATGTCATGTTAAAGTGTTTCAGTTACAAGACAAAAATACTAACTACAGGATAGGAACAAAACATAATGAAGTGCTGGCAGCTCTTTACAGATCTAAACCTGCTTATCTTAGATCACACTTGTTTTGTAGCAAGTTTCATAGTATAAAAATTAGACAATGTCATTAAAAAAAAGGGGTATGACCAGTTCAACATTTACATTTTCTGAAAATAATCTGGCAGTGTGAGGTGGAGTGTCACAAATACCACTATGCTCCCAACAGGTGACAACTCAGTGGCAGCACTCAAGGGATATGTCTACATTGGAAACCACAGGGGAGCAGACAACACTACATTATTTACTGCAGGTAGATTGTCTCCAACATCCAAGCTAGCTTACGCCTAGACTCAACTGGTATCCTTCAACAACACTGTGATTAGCTTCCAGCTATAAAAAACCAGTTGAAATCTTCTACTTGTTGCATAAACTTACCTCACTGGACTCCTGCAGCAGAATGGCGCCAAGCAGTTGGTACATCTACCAAAAGGAGGAGATAATCCCATGTGTGGGGTTTTTGCTCTCCCCACCGCCCCAAATCCCCGTGCTACCAACATCTACAACAAATAAAGCTGTTCCAGAGTGAAGTACTGCGAAGGACCAGGTATTTCCTCACACGAACATGAAATTCCCTTTAGGTCAGCAGACATAAAATGGCTCCACGTGGCGCTGAACCCTCTGTGTGTGTGTGTGGGCGGGGCAGCTGCTACAGGGGAGGAGCCGCGGCCGGAAGCAGGGGCAGGACTAGGTCCCGTCTGATTGGCTGAAAAGCCCGGAAATACCAAAACCGGCCAATCGGGAGCAAAAGAAAAACCCCATAAAAGAGCGTGCCTCTCTCTCTCTCACTCTCGTTCTCTCCTCGTGTTCGGCACGTTGTTCCGCACACACTGCTTGCCGCTGCCATTTCGTGCTGCGTGCTGCCGGAGCTGCTTGCTGTGCTTGCCATATCCG